CATAAGTTTTGGGTTTAATCATTTTTATTCCTTTACTACTCATTAAATTTACTACTTTATCTATATAAACTTTATATCTTGTTTGGAGCATTACTCTAATACTAACTGATGCAAACCCATGTTGCAATAGTAGCTACGAAGCTTACACAAGATTGATTCAATATCAAGAAAGCCAAGAATCAATGTTTAAGTTTGATTCAAAAATATTGAACCAAAGGACCAACACAATCGCGGTTACAAAACACAAAAATCTCACTTGATTTGTTTGAACGCCACAATAAATAATGTTAATAAGTTCAGAATTAATTGAATGAAGAACAAAAAGAAAGCAATAATGCCTTACTAATATCTCTCAAAAATTGTGTGTTGTACAATGAAAATAATAATTCTATTTATAAGGAATCCATAAATCCTAGAAAATGGAATTAAACTCTAAAAATAACAAAAGATATCACAAAATAGAGTTTTAACTAAAATAAAATATTGTGCCAAATTTGAAAAATTCTCCACCGAAAATATACTATGCAGTCTCATAGATCATCTGAGCTCCTCTACTATGGGTTCGATAAAGGGGCACACGGTTGGCATGTCTTGAACAATTATGCAGTCGCATAGTTGTTTCTTCCAACTTCTCCATCCATTACTTGAATCAAGTTACTCCACTTCGTTTCATTTCTCAAGACCAACATGAAACATGTCCCTTTGCTTGTCTAATCAATGTTTCGTCCACCGTGGCTTGAGCAAGTAGTCTCATTGCTTCTTTGACCCGCTTCGCTCGCAACCTAGACATAGACCCTTCTTCAATGATCAATGGATCCTTACCCGAACTTGCCATCGTATCATGAATCACATCACCTATAAGAGGCGAGTTGACATGTATGTGGATGTCAAAATGGATAGGCCGAAATGGTGGTTCTACAATGTATATCCTTCTCAATTTAGGAAACCTCAAGGCTCATGGGTAGAGTGTGATAGCAGGATGATGTCGTCGTTGTTGGTGGTAAAGTCCGATGGCATAAGTAGCGAAATGATAGAGTTAGTTGAAGGTGGTTGCATGAGTATGGTTATAAAAAATGGGTGGGGTAGGGGACAGAAAAATAAAGTTTTAAAGGTTTGAGATTGTGTGAGGCACATATAAAAAATTTGAGCATAATTTGCAAGAAAATAAAAAGTTTCGACTGCAACTACAATTATTCATTTTTAATTATGGCAATTTTTATTTTTTTAACGATTAAACTAACAGAAATGGACGATATGAAGGTTTTCGACACCTGAAAGGTTATATTTCGCACTAAAGATTTCAAGTAGGGACATTTTCTGTTATTTTCAATAGGTAGAGGGGTTTTTCATTCAATATCTAATAGGTAGGGGTTTTTTGCTATAACTATTAAGCCTAAAATAAAAGTTACTATTAAAATAAGTAACTAATTGAGTTCGTGAAGTAAATAATTTTTTATTTTAACTTTCTAGTTGACAACTTATTTATTTACTTTTATGCTTAATTTAGTTTTTATTTTTAAATTCATTTAAGCCCCCATCTGACCCCCATTATTTGATGTTATAGTTTTTGTAATAGTATTTTTTTGGTAAATGTGTGGTTGAAAAAGAAGGATAATTTTTAGATTTATGTGTAATATTATTTTATTGGAGAATGTATTGTTAAAAAGAAGAAAGAGAAAAACATATTTTTAAATTTAATGGGGGCCAAATGGGGGGCTAATTAAGTTACACTTTTTTTCTTCTTTATAATAAAAAATGTAAAAATTTTGACCAAAAAAATTACTAAACCTATGTTTGGGCTCCGCTGACATAAAAAAATGACTTTATCACTTTTGTCAACTTAATTGAAAATTTGAAAGAGGTAATCTGGGCTAAAATATTACAGAAGTAATAAGAAGAGGGTGGATTTGTATTAAATGGAGAGATTTTGAAGCGTATTCATACAATGGTTGAGTTCTGTCTCCATAGGAGACCCTTACAATTCCATTTATAGCATGAAATTGGCAAATTAATATGTTTTCATCAAATTAGCTACAATGTCGATTTGAACGTTCGTATCGTTGACCTAATTTTGATTGGCTGTTGAGGTCGACTTCCATGTGCCATGACAGAACTGTTGTGGGGAGTAATCATTACAAAATTGTGAGTGGTCACAATTTAGAGTGCCCATGATGTTTGCCACGTGCCCTGAAGTGATTATATTAGATAAATGTGTGATGTTAGCCTTCGAGTGAAGGAAAACAGAGTGTAATGATGATGTTCCCCCAAATGACGGTGGCGATTCATTCCTTCTGGAGATAAGCTGATTTGTGTTGAGTTGGGAGTTGTACTAAACTGAGCTGAACTAAATTGGGAATTCCATCCTAACATGACCTTATTTTGAAATTTAAACTCAATTTTAACCGGTTTTAATTACTTTGATGAACCATTTAGTCATATTTATATGCTCCAAGATCAGCCAATTGACCTAAAAAATAAGTTATCTACAATGCATTTCTTGAATTGTGTGCCACTGTCCATACATTTCTTGAATTGTGTGCTATTGTCCACGTCTTTGTGCCATGTGTTGTTATGAGAATGGTCATAGGAGAATCAACGAAGTCATGGATAAGATATTAAGATATAAGTGGCAATAAAACAATGATGATGTTTTCTAATTGACGGCAGATATGGCCGAACTAATCTAACTCGGACGAGATCATAAGTTGAACTGACTTGATGATCTTTTAGCTCATCCTCTTTGAAGTGACCACCGAACATTCACAAGCTCTCATTCTCAAATTAAAGTAACGCCTGTTTGATAGCACTCAATTTTTTAGGGAAGTTGAAATTTGTTTTCCATTTTCCACATTTTAGGCTGTTTGGTAGGTTAAATTTTCTATGAAATTCATTTTCCACATTTACCTTGTTTTCCACCAAATTCTTGGTTTTCAAGGAAAACCAATTCTCACAAATGAGGAAAACCAATTCTCACCACATTGGTGAGAATAGGTTTATCAGGCTACTCTTTTTCCTTTTTTTTTGTTTGCGATGAAAACAAATTTTATGGATAATTGTAAAAATTTTTTTTTTCCTTTTAATGAATAATTTCTATGGAAAACAAAGTCAAACGAATATCAAAAGATCTAAAATGTCAACATTCTTGAGGTGGAAAATTATACAAATCAAACACAATTAATTACAATTTTCAGTAAAATAAATTTTAGGCAATTTAATTCTTTATAATTCATTTTCTTTCCATCCAAATTCTATCTTTGCAATCAAACGGACCCTAAGTTCAAGTTGGTTTTGTGAGTTTGGATGCCAACAGACTCTATTAATCCTAAATATATTTTTCTTTATCTTATTTTTAATAACACATTATTCAAAAAATACTATTTCAAAATTCTTTTTTTTTTTTTTTTACCCAAATGGGGCTCAAACAATGGCCAAGTAACTTGGCGAGGGATAAGCTGTTATATTTTAAGGGATTTAAGCTTCTATTTTTAGGCAATAATACTTCTATCAATTGTTTAAAGCTTAGCCAAACATACCCTTAGGTTGATATGAATATGGACGTTAAGTAGAGAGGGGGAACCACAGTAGACACCCGCGTGATGAAATTTCCACACTCATTTCACAGCTAAAATCTTTGAATTCCCATGGAAATCACCCATTTACACCCGTCAAATTTTCCATAAATTACTATGCAGATCAATTTTACGACTATACATGCGTATATATAGTTAGGGTTTTCGAAAATCTAATTTTTGATGGCAACATCTTCCTCAGTACCAATTCAGTGGATCCCCGAAGATGACCTCTTGTTGAAAAACGCTGTTGAGGTACAATTTTTAGAACATATAGCCACATTCTTGTGGTTAATTATGATTTGGCGTCGAATTTGCATTAAATTCGTGAATATTGGGTTTTTCAGCATTTATTTTTATTATTATTATTATTTTTTTTATTTTCATGTCAATTGCAAGTTTTTGGAACTCTGCTGCTTGATTTTACTGATGCAAGATCCTTAATGAATTAGTAAATTAATGTCATATACTAGTGATATTTAAACATTTTCACTGTGAGTCATGTAATTGAGTATTTTATGATTGGATGCATTGTTATATAAAACTATAGTATCTTTTAGTATTTTTTGTCTCCTTCTCATATAAATGAGTACTCATTAATCATTTTTGGTTCAGTAAGTCTAGATTTAAAATGTTTAGATCATACCATATGCCGGGCATGAAGATAAGTTGACAATACCAATGCTTGAGCTTTTTAAAAGTGCCCAACCAGCAAAAAGACAATGTTTATGAAATTATTTGAAGACGATTGTAGTGTTGGCCATTTTAGTTCTGCCCACTTGTTTGTTTCTATAAATGAAGTCCCAAATATGTACAACCTCCATACATTGTTTTCAAGGTTCATAGGATGCTTCTATACGAAGTGAGTTGGATTTACACATGGTGGACATAATTTCTATGTGGATTGAACATCACTACTAAAGAAGCATAGATAGTAGCTTCAGGTTGAAAGCAACAGGTCAGCATACCTATTGTATTGCATATAGTGCATTTAGAGTGGAAACTCTTGCCAAGTCTCATCACGCTTGGATAGCTTTCTGAGCAATAAAAGAGCTGCCACTTTCGTTGGATGGGCATGATTCATATATCTCTTGATAGACTTTTCCTTTATGTGATTTTTTCTCGTTTTAACATTTGTAAGCATGTGAAAAGCAGATCTGGCAGTGAATAGTTCAATCATGCACCTTGAATTTTATTCTGTAAGAAAATGATTATTGGACCTTGGCATGTTCGGAGCATTTTTAATTTCCCTTCGATCTGTGGAAAATTGGTGAAAGAAAAGGTTGCAGGAAGTGATTGTGAGTATTTTGTATTTGCAGCTGACATGAAAGTGTAGTTGCCACTGTTAGTTTTATCTCTCTGTCTCAAAGTAAAGAAATTATTGCAGGACTTCCATTACTTCTCCCTTTATGTGCTTCCATTGTGGAATGCCATGTTCTGTTTAATAGAATAATGTTCTCTATTGCAGGCTGGTGCGTCATTGGAAGCACTTGCTAAAGGTGCTGTTCAATTTTCTCGCAGATTTACCTTTAAAGAACTGCGAGACAGATGGCATTCTCTTCTCTATGATCCTGATATTTCAATCCAAGCTTCTGCCCGCATGTTTGAGCTTGAGATCTCTGGCTTCAACTCTTCATCAAAGTTAACTAGATTGGAGAACAACTTCAAAGGCAATAAAGAGGTTCCATGGAAGAGGAAACGTGAAAGCATTCGCAGGCATTACTATGCCATGCGGAAAAAAATTCGCAGCGAATTGTTCGGTAACATTGATCTAGGTTTTTTCGAACCCGATCTTCATGACTGCAGTGGGCAGGGTGCTGCTTTTCAGAAGCAAGGGGTACTTGATGGTAATAATCCTCAGGGTGGAAATTGTTCAGATAATATAGGGCTTCATGAAGAACATTTGGATATTCTATGCCAGGCCTTTCCAGATATTACTGTGTCTTCTAATGCAACTATTATATCTCACTCTGAATGTCCAAATCCAATTAAAGATAAATGCCCAACTGAAATCGTGAGAAGATATGGGTTTGATGAAAATGCCTCAACCTCAATAACACAAGGTGAAAGTAAGTTTTTTGAGGCTAACATCAAAAGTAAGAAAAGTCTTCCAGTAGTGCCATCTGGAAGAGAATTTATTGGATGTTCAGAGACAAAACACTTGCCTCCCTTCAATTCAACAAATGAAGACCTTCATAATGATCGTGTTAAATTAGAAGGTAGACAAAAGTTCAACCCCTCTAACACAGATGACATTGCCCCATTTTGCACAATGAGGCTTCCATCTCACCAGCCTAATTTGCACACCTGGAAAAAAATGCGAGATGTTTCCTCTTCTCTTATGCCAGTTAGTGTAAGCCAGAGAGATACAGCTCAGGTTGCTGTAGAGATGCTTTCTGATGATGGTGAGGGTAAAATAAGTTCGTCAACATACACAGTCGTACATTCAGGGTCTTTACTGAGTGTGAGATGCAGTAATTCTGATGTCATCAATTCATCAACTGTGTCAGAGAGCGAATTTGCAGACCCTGATTCACTATTGAACCTTTCAAATGAAGAAGAGATGCTCTTGGTGGACGTGGATGAGAAACATGCAACAGATAAATCTTGTATTGATAATAAGAATTCACTTCTCTTGAACTCTCCAAATGATGTTCAAGAAGATGATAACGTTGGCAAACTCGAAGTTGGGGCTGTAATGGTTTCACAGATTTGTTCTGCATCTACTCCTAGTGGAAATCCCGTGGTGTCAGAAGTTACACCTTCCACCATTCCTAGAGAGCAGACTCATTTAGATGTTAATGCACCATCAAATTCAACTTTAAATTTTGAATTCAATGAACTTGGTGATGGAAACATATGCTGCACTTTGAACACTGAAGACACTGAAATTCCAAGCAATGATGATATATTCTTACTCATCCACCCTTCCATTTCATTTGGTTCTTCTGCAACACAACCAATTTCGACAGCTTCTATGGACTTAACTTCTGCTTCTTATCAGAAGGATAATGAACGAGCAGTGAACTTGTTGAGAAAAGTAAATCATTCTGCAGAAGCTTTTGCATGGTCTCACAAGGTCGAACCACAGAATGTGTTAGAACCACGTCCTTACCACCCACTTGTTGGTCGTTCAGCTAAAAATGAGCTGCTTGATTTTAAACCTCATGCCTTGCTTCCTGAATGTGCCACCAGATCTTTTGCTGATTCTGGTAAAGGCAAATCATTGCATGCATTTCAAACAGTATCCAGTGATAGACTGCTACTGAAAGATGTTGAAGGAGTTGGTACAAGGGTGCTTATCTTCATTTTGTTCTATTAATTCTTTCCAAAATCAGATTACTCGAGGATGTGATCACATTACTATGTCTAAAAATTTTTGTTCATTAACAGGTTGGAGACAGGGCATCAACAGTCATGGAGATGCCACAATATACAGAAGCAGGTTCTGGCATAACTGTAGTTCCAGAAGATGGGGATGACCCCTTGATGTCTGATCTGGAAGACTCTCTGATTGATGATGATGTGCCTTATTTCTCTGATGTTGAAGCTATGGTATATGTTCTGATCCTAGTTGTTGTTGGGTTCTGATCTTGTCTAAAAATTTACAAACTAAAACTTCCCTCTCTTGATTGTTTTAATATTATCTTCCAGATACTTGATATGGATTTACATCCATTTGATCAAGACTCTAATATGACTTGGCAAGGTAATACCAATTTACTTTGTTGTTCATTTTGCAAATGGCTGCTCACATATAGGGATGATTGCCTATCACACTAGAATCTACAAAATTTTAGATATTAGAAATATTTGGGTTTATTTTTCCCCCTAATTTTTGACCGTACTTGTGCATTCTAAAGATAATGCTGGGTTCATATGTCTTCATTTTAATTCATTTAAAAAGTACTTCAAGCAACGTCCATGTGTTTTGATGCATTTCTCTTTTAAAATAAACTAAACAATTTTAGGAATAAAACTTTGAAATAAGTATATTACAGAGTATAAACAGCCTTGCATACCTTAGCATGAAGAATTTGTGATACATCAACATAGCCAGCAACTGAAGACTATGATGCTCGGACTCAGGTATCGAGTAGGGGAACGTATCTAAGTGTCAGATTTTTTNACACATTCTTTCAAATTTCAATTTTTTACTAATTCATGATGTCATTTTTATTAGACCAAAATCAATTATTCACAAAGAAGGAAATATGTATTGAATAAGGGGTTAAGACGAATAAAATAAAATTTTAGGGTTCAGTTTTCAATTATGAGAATTACTAAATATTATATAAAATAGAATATGAGGGATTTGATTGCAATTTGGATTTAGTGGTGCACTAAGTAGCACTATATGGAACCCATTTCATTTTATACAAATAAAACCTTAAAATCACCGACACAGAGAAAGAAGAAAATGGAAAGAAAAAAGAAAGAAGAAAAAGAAGGGAAAACCTAGCACCACCACCTTTCTCCACCCTCTCAGCTGCGATTCTAGGTTTATAGATAGCAAAAAGGGGAAAGAAGAAAAGGGACAAAAAAAAAAAAAAGTAAAAACGACGAACTGTCTGGTTGAAATTTGGAGGATCCGACACATATCTCATACCCATACCCATGTCGTATCGTGTCTGACACGGGTACTCCTACTATTTCGAAAAGTCTGAGCATCAAAGACTGAAGAAACATCTTAATGAATGGACATGAGCATCTCTTCAATAAGTTGTATATATATATTTTTTTATCAATTATGCTGCTTACAATAATTTAGGCCATTTTATTTCTTACTGTTCAGTTCCAAGTTACCAGTATGATGGCACTAAAAGGACAATCATAAGGTTGGAACAATGTGCTCGTTCCTCTTTGCATAGGGTCATTACATCTCAAGGAGCCCTTGCTATCTTATATGGCCGCCATCTTACACACTATATCAGAAAGCCCAAGGTACGTTATCCATTTACTGACTTTCTAAATTTCTTTTTAAATTTCAATTGTAATACATGCTAGAATAATGAGCTTTTTTGCGTTGTCATTTCTTATAATTTTCGTACTTCCTACTGTTTATTCGAAAGGAACTTACTGCTGTATAGTTGGTGATTATAATTATCCTTGGATGTTCGGTGAAATCTTGCAAGCGTATTGGATCGTTGACAAGTAATAATGTAGTGAGTAAAAGCATCGTCCTACAAGGAATAAATCTTAAATTGAACAGTATTAATTTTTATAAAATTCGAATATAAATTTAACAAAAGAGATTTACGCGTTTATGTCCAAACTTTTAAGTTGGTTTTGAATTTAATATGAAATTTATGTGTTGGAAATTCGAATCCACTTATTATTATTATCATCATATTTCCAATTCTCGACCTATGTAATCTAGTGTGATATGTATAGTTTTGACAATCCATAAATCAATTTTATTTAACTATCTCTCCCAAGGTAAGTTCAACCTATTTTAAGCGCGAATTTGTTATATTTTAATTCTGAATTCATATGTAAAGTAATGCATTAAATCTCACGATTATTTATATGATTGCAGATGTGATGTATATTATTCCTGAAATCTATTGTTTGTGTTGAAAGAAAAGTTCTAAACCTATCATGAACCTCTCGAAAATATAATAAGCAACTAATAATCTAAATTGTGCGTAAGCATTTAAATAATCCAACAAGACATATAAGATCAATCAATAATACAAATTAACTAAATTACTTAGTTTTTGAATTAAAAATAATCAACAAAAGGTTTCATCTTCATTTAAAACAAAAAAGATCTAGCCTAGCATGTTTCCGATGAATATCGGCTTGGGCACGAGGCTCTCCTACACAAAAGTGATGGGCATGTTTACGATGAATATCTTCATCCAACACAAAAAAGATGGATTTAGGCTCTCCTAAAGCTGACAATACATATGATATAACGGCTTGAGTATGAGGTTCGGATCGTTACAAACTCATTCCTTCTTAATGTAAAACTTAAATCCCGAGCATAATGAATATCAATTCTACATGGATAAGCATAAATTAATCAATTTTTGTAATATAACTGTGAAGTTAGGATGTCGAATCCAAATGGATTGAAAATCAAATTCTTACTAAGTACTATAATGAGAATAGCGCTTACTGTATCTAGATGATCGAATTAAAGTATCAATTTTTTAACTAATTATATGGTGACAATTTTTACTAAATCAATAATTGAAAACAAGTTTTAAGGATTAAGTAATATGAGAAGAGTTTAGGGTTTTGATTTCATCTATCAATTATGTTTCTTAATTTTTTAATTATATCCAATTGATTTTTTCAAGTTTATGAGTAAGAACCCTAATGTAATTCTATTCCCTCTTTCGAGTGCCGAGTAAAAATTATTCCTAGAATTCAATTCTATTATCTCTAATCCGAATTAAAAATCTAAATATTATCAAGTTTAATGGTTCTTATGTGGAATCGCTTCAAAGGGTTTATAATCTCTCTTGAAACCTATAAAATCTAGGTTATGTTATTATATGATTACGTTTAAGGTTCCCTCTCTCAAGTGTCGAAACTTAAACAATCAAATCATTCAATCAGTGATCAGTTAATTGAAAGCATTAAGAATAAACAACATAAATAAACTTTAATGGAAATCTTAAAGAAAGAACTAAAAATTATCAAGAGTCTCAGGTATAGATTACATAAAATCCTAGATAGAAGAATTAGTTAATTATGGATGAGAGAGAAACTATCAAATTCATAATAAAAACACGGAGAAGAACAAGATAAAATTGAGTTGGAGTTGAATCGATTCTTCGCGTTGTTGCCTTAAATCTCTTTCTTGATATCTTACTTTTGTCTTGTTGAATTTCTTCTTAAAAAGTGGCTTCTAGGGTGGTTTATGCCTTGTTGAAGTCCTTCAATCTGTTGGAGTGGAATTGAGTTTTTAAAAGATGAATAGTATTCAAACCCTAGTTGAAACGACGATCGACGCCCAAATTGGGCACTTGAGTGCCGCGATTCTAGGTTAGGCTAGCGCTTGGGTGCTTGGACCCACTTCTGGGAAAAAAATTAGCAACGTGGCACTTAGGCGCTCTCCTAGCTTCGATTGCTCTGCATAGCCTTTATTATTTTTATCATACATTTCTTTCTTGATATCTTACTTTTGCCTCGTTGAATTTCTTCTTAAAAAGTGGCATCTAGGGTGGTATTTATGCCTTGTTGAAGTCCTTCAATGAGTTGGAGTGGAATTGAGCTTTTAAAAGATGAATTAGTATTCAAACCCTAGCTGAAACGACGATCGACGCCCAAATTGGGCACCTGAGTGCTGTGATTCTGGGTTAGGCTAGCGCTTGGGTGCATGAACCCACTTCTGGGAAAAATTTAGCAACGTGTCACTTAGGCGCTCCTAGCTTCGATTGCTCTGCATAGCCTCTATTATTTTTATCATACATTTCTTCCGATTGAGGCAATTCAAATTGCGTTGGATATAACTCAAAGGGCTATAACTTTATTAGAAATAGCTTTTTTCCAATTTGAATATTTACTATGTCAAAAATGTGCCTTAATCTCCCGCTAAAAAATTGGAACATACTTGTGCGGTTGAAAATTGATTTGTGAAAATATTTTGATCATATTTCAATCCTTTTTGACCTCTAATTGCATTCGATTGATTCCTAACAATCTTCAATTATCGTTTTGTAGTCTGAATCAATTATTGAACGGTTGCAATTGGGTCATCAAACTTTGGATTTCACAATTTTTCGTCGTTATTCACTTCTTTTTTTCAATTTAGCCTCCAACATCGAGTTTCACCAAACCAACATCAATTTTTCCTTAATTTATGCCAACATCACTTTTTTCATCAAGTTTTGCACCATTTATACCAATTCACCCAACCTATAAAACAACACGAAAACACAACTCAAAACGTTCTAAAACTCTTAAGAATCATACGAACTATTAAGATTAAATAGCATTAATATGATGAGTGAAACGCACTCATCATTGACTTCAAACTTAATACTTTGCTGCTAGTCCTGGAGCAAACACAAAGAAAAAGAAAAGAACTAATGAAAGCACACAAATAAAACTAAACATTTCGACTCAAATAAAACAAGTTAATAAAGCTTGCCTTTTTGGCTTAGAATTGAAAACATTATATCAAATTTATGAACTGCTTCAAAATCATAATGCTAAAGCCAAATTATCACATATCCATGCAAAACGGTTGTGTGAAGAATCAAGTGCAATGCTGTACATTCACAAATTGGTTCAATTCCCGATCTCATTAGTCAAATATATCATTTCTTCACTCGTGAGATTAACATACCCACTAACTTATTTTCTTTTATTCTCTTCCCAAGGTGTATTCTAATGTTGCTCTCAATTTACTAATCTTTATCCTCTCTAGTTTGGTTAGATTTTACTGATTGCAGCTCAACATATCAACAAATGAGGATTCCCTTTAATTCTTGACCACTTCAACCTCCAAGAATCAACTGAACTACTAGCCCCTTAGCAAATGTCCAATTCTCTAAAACAAGTGTGTGAGACTTAATCAAGACAATAGTGCGTCTTATGTTTCATGCACCTATTTTTTCGAGTTTGCTGTCTTCTATTTGATGCACTAGCTCACTCTTTTCAGTTTTCTTTTTGGGATTTTCAATAATTGTCCTCATTGGGATAAGTAGCTTCACAACAAGACAACTTTTTCCCTTTTAAGCAAAGATTAGTGCAATGCCTCTTCATTAATACTCATTCTCGAAAACTGACCTTTAACTTGAGATTTTCACCTAATTTTCATCTAATTGGTTTTAGACAATNAAAACTGACCTTTAACTTGATATTTTCACCTAATTTTCATCTAATAGGTTTTAGACAATTCATACAAAATTTAGCTCACACGGAATCTACATCTATCTCCATATTTCCCTACAACAGCTTAACTACCCCAAATTATCTTTAAATTAGGTTTTAAGATGTGAAATTTAGTGGTTGTTTGTAATTATTGTCCTTAGTCCACTACTTCAACCTATAATAAATATGAATCAACTTATGTACAGTGCTAACTTAATTCACATGCATAATAGTGTCACATTCTACATGGAAAAGAAAAAAATTAATTCAAATGTCCAAAATATGGAAGAAAGAA